AAAAGAACGTCGTATACTTACTTTGAGCGATAGTAGCAGAGAATGACGGCGAGTACAATCAGCAGTGAAAGTGTCAGGAATGCGAAGATAGCAAGCAATATAGCTATTTCACGAAAACCCGAATATGGCATAGCATCAGCAAGCTTTACCGCATTAGTTGTTTGCTGAAATTCAACAAGAACTGCTTGAAAGGAGGTCATAATGCTTAATATTTTCGTCATGAACCAACGATTTACAGTGATGGCGCTTAGTTTTGGCACTGGTGATTTCGGATTCAGCGCTTTTTTATCAATAATTGATATGGCCCGATCGGCAGGCAACAATGCATCGTTGGTGCGATTTATGAACAGAAACTGTGCACGAACAGCTTGGCGCAAAATGCGACCCTCGAAAGCGATGTATTTGACATTGAACAGTAGTACTTCACATTCACACAATTCACTAAGCGACCTGCAAAAACAATCACTAGTGCCAAGAGATGTCCGCCTGAAACAAAGAATCCAGAATGAAGCGCATTTCAAGAAAAATCCTCGTAAAAAATTGATTTTGCTTTCTAAAGATTTGGAACCACTGCTTTTAATTTACCGATATTCAGCCACTTGCAAAAATAAGTTTTTTTAGAACTTTTGGCTAAAAAAATTAGTTGCATTCATTATCCTAAATCAAAATTTGTAGTTTATTTCACAAAAATGAAAACGACCCTTGATGGGCTCTGGGCAGTAAGTGGTAGTAGCCCAAGGTCGACTAGTAACTGACATAGCTATTGCTCGACATACATTCGCATTTCAGCTTCACTCCGAAAGCCCGTACGTCTGGCCTTTTAACGGCCCTCAGTTGTATTACTGAAATATCAGCTATTGGGTCGAAGTTAATCAGTGAAGAACGTCTTACTGCCGCGATCTTTTAAAAGTATATCAGAGATGCCTTCAGAAGAAGATCGGCGTCATAGTATCGCTGTGTACTTACTCCTGCAGGCTGATCAGTGCACTGACATTCAGATTCACGGCATTTTCATTGATATCTACTTGAACAATATG